CTCAGGGAGAGCCAAAAAATTGGGAATAAAACCCAAAATTGCAGCACCCCAAAAGGGTCCAGGTGGGGTTTTCAAGGATGGGGGGACCCCAAAAATCACCGGGGGACCCCAAAAATCACCGGGGGAACCCAAAAATCACCGGGGGAACCCCAAAAATCATCGGGGGAACCCAAAAATCATCAGGGGGACCCCAAAAATCACCAGGGGAACCCAAAAATCATCGGGGGAACCCAAAAATCACCGGGGGAACCCCAAAAATCACCGGGGGAACCCAAAAATCATCGGAGGAACCCCAAAAATCATGGGAGGAACCCCAAAAATCATCGGGGGGATCCCAAAAATCACCGGGGGAACCCAAAAATCACCGGGGGAACCCAAAAATCATCGGGGAACCCCAAAAATCATCGGAGGAACCCCAAAAATCACCGCGGGGACCCCAAAAATCATCAGGGGGACCCCAAAAATCACCGGGGGAACCCAAAAATCATCGGGGGAACCCCAAAAATTACTGGGGGAACCCCAAAAATCATTGGGGGACCCCAAAAATCACCGGGGGAACCCAAAAATCACCGGGGAACCCCAAAAATCATCGGGGGACCCCAAAAATCATCGGAGGACCCCAAAAATCATCGGGGGACCCAAAAATCACCGGGGGGACCCCAAAAATCATCGGGGGAACCCAAAAATCATCGGGGGAACCCAAAAATCATCGGGGGACCCCAAAAATCACCGCGGGGACCCCAAAAATCACCGGGGGAACCCAAAAATCACCGGGGGGACCCCAAAAATCATCGGGGGAACCCAAAAATCATCGGGGAACCCCAAAAATCACCGGGGGACCCCAAAAATTACTGGGGGAACCCCAAAAATCATCGGGGGAACCTCAAAAATCACCAGGGGAACCTCAAAAATCATCGGGGGACCCCAAAAATCATCGGGGGGACCCCAAAAATCATCGGGGGAACCCCCTCATTTCTGGATTTGGAGTTTTGGGGTTTTGGGTTTTGGGGTTTTTGGGTGATTTTGGGGGGTTTTGGGGTTTGGGGTTTTTGGGATTTTTTGGGGTTTGGGGTTTTTGGGGTTGGGGGGTTTTGGGGTTTGGGGTTTTTGGGGTTTTTGGGATTTTTGTGGGGTTTGGGGTTTTTGGGGTTGGGGGGTTTTGGGGTTTTTGGGATTTTTTGGGGTTTGGGGTTTTTGGGGGTTGGGGATTTTTGGGATTTTTGGGATTTTTGTGGGGTTTGGGGTTTTTGGGTTTGGGGGGTTTTGGGTTTGGGGAGGTTTTGGGGTTTCTGGGGGGTTTGGGGATTTTTGTGGGCTTTGGGGTTTTTGGGTTTGGGGTATTTGGGGATTTAGGATTTTGGGAGTTTTGGGTTTTTTGGGTTTTTGGGTTTGGGGGTTTCTGGGGTTTTGTTATTTTGGGGTTTGGGGGGTTTTGGGTTTGGGGGTTTTGGGTTTTTTGGGTTTGGGGATTTTGGGTTTGGGGTTTTTTGGGGGGGGGATTTTTGTGTTTTTTGAGGTTTTGGTTAGGTTTTCTGTGTTTTCGGGGTGTTTTTGGGGTGTTTTTGGGGTTTTTGGGGCATTTGGAGGTGTTTTTAGGGTGTTTTGGGGTGTTTTGGGGGTGTTTTTGGGGTGTTTTTGGGGTGTTTTGAGGTGTTTTGGTGTGTTTTTGGGGTGTATTGGGGTATTTTTGGGGTGTTTTTGGGGTATTTTGAGGTGTTTTTGGGGTGTTTTTGGGGTGTTTTTAGGGTGTTTTGGGGCGTTTTTGGGGTGTTTTGAGGTGTTTTGAGGTGTTTTTGGGGTGTATTGGGGTATTTTTGGGGTATTTGGAGGTGTTTTTGGGGTATTTTTGGGGTATTTTGAGGTGTTTTTGGGGTGTTTTGGGTATTTTTCGGTGTTTTCGGAGTCGCTCACCTCCATCTCGCGCTGCAGGCAGGTGTCGGGGCCCAGGCTGGGGGCCACCATGGGGGCGGGGACGGGGAAGTTGGGGGGCAGGCGGGGGCAGGGGGGCAGCAGGAAGGGGGTCA